CTACTGATACCCCTTTGGGTTAGGCCTTCAGCATTGGAAAGCCTTGGTTAGCAGATTTTTGGGGATAAAATGTGAACAAAATAAGTTCGTCCCGAAAGATAATAGTGCGCTTCAAATCCAGGATATGCAGTAGATCTTATGTTTACTCTGCCAGTGACAGAAATACATTTAAAATATGGAAAACGAAAGAGATTCTTCATTGTAGGAACAGTTTTTAGAATAATGTTCTTTTGCACTAGTTGGCAATCGGAAAAAATCCTGAACAATCCCGGAAAACCGGGACATCTGGCAACTCAACTTAAGCAAAATATGATAAAGGTAAAGTTATTAAAACTATGGTTACGCCACTTGTTATGGGAAAATATTATTTACTAAAGATTTCCATTTAAAATCCATATTAATAATAATACTTGAAGTATTTTATAATTAATGAATTTGAACAAAAGTAAGAGAATAAAATGTATTTTTAAATATTTAAACATAAATAAAATATTAATTTATATTTACTATAGATCTATTATATTATATAATCTTAATATACAGTATAATATTGATAGATCTACATTCAATAGGCCTATATATTTACTTAATGTATAGCCTATATACCGAATAAACATATATATTCAATGTATAAATATTAAATGAATAAATATGATGAATCTTAATAGATTTATAGGATTACTTTATCTATGAAATTAAAAGAATTAATGATTTAAACTTATAAGTTATTAAATTATTATCGCATCTGAAACGAAAATTTTAATAAATCAAGGGTCTTAATTCATTATTTTCAAAGTGATTTAAATATTTTGAAATTTTTATTTTATTTTTTAAATATAACTTAAATATAACAATCGCAAAATTATATAAATTTACATTCATGATGGTAAATTATCTTATCACTTACCATAAATCAATTTTTAACACGTGATTAACAATTTAAAATTTTCTATAACTGATAGATTAAAAGTTAATAGTTTTCTTTGATTTTAATACTCTTCTCGATAAGCTTTATAGTAAAAAAAAAAGAAAAAAAAACATTAAAATTGAATAATGTTTTAAAAATTGCATGAGAGGAAAATCGCCAATTAGCGTTGATTTAGGATGTAATTAAGAAGCCGAATCTATAAAGAGGAGACGCATTGAGTATATGCGAGTCAATGGATGCAGCGTAATCCATCGTGCCATATTTAATGCAATTTTCTAATTGCCTGCACGTCACCCGACGAACGTTGATTGTGTAGCCGTGTGCAAACATTGAGAGCATGGCCACCTAATCAGGAAGACTGCTGCATCGATCGCTTTTCCCTGGCGAGAGAGACCGCACAAAACGTCAAACGACGCTTAATTAAATCTAAGTGCCTATTCCGACCAGATTCTGGCCGAGCCTCAAAGATCACTCTCACCGTCCACTGTTCTACTCTAATTTTCTTCACGTGAACATTTCTTATCCCCTTTTCTGCCGATTTTTTTAACTAGAAAAGCATCGCAGTTTATATATTCGAAAAGATTTGGAGCCACTTTATATTCGTTTGCTTGTTGAACCGCCTTTCTGGTTCTGTAATTAAGATTAAACTATTGTAGAAAATTTAAGGTCGGAACATCGTCGATATCCTATAGAAAGTTTCCGTCTTCCTGCAATAAGTGGAACACGTGATCAGAAGTGGTTTCTGCACCTAATCACTGGCGCGACATACAATAATGGCTTTAAAGGCGACATTAATTAGCGCCATTAAGCGAGTGGTTATCGTCTGGGTAATCGATTCTCCTAGAAAGAATAGCACGTTAAGCAGTGCATACGTCACAGCATTAGCTTAATTAACTGTTTAATCACAGAGCACAATCTCCAATTACAGCCGAGACAGCGTGTTTGCCCAACGGATCCGACGACCCTTTAACCAGCTGGTGACACCATGCAGATTAATCATGTTCTGCATGTTTGGTCGGAACCACCCTCTGGGGATAGCTTTGATGACAATGAGGATCTCTCCCCGTTTCGGCCATTTATCGTTGACACATTGAGATGGATGCGGTGGTTCTGATTAAAGTGCTGACTCCGGATCCTCTCGATTCGCTGTTCTAGGTTAAATTCGTTAGTTGATAATTCGTGAACTGTTTTACGTTTCTTTTCAGAGATAAAAGAATTACAGATTGATGCGGTCACCACTTACAAGAAAAAGTTAACCATTTGATTATCAGCTTAATTGCTGGATCAGAATTGTTTTAATGAAAATTGAAATAAAATCACCTGAACAATTTAATAAAATTGTTCAAATAAAAAAAAAGTATAGTGTGATAATAGAAATGTTTGCAGATTATTCCATGTACTGGACCTTTTTGATCTTGCACATTATTGATTTACAATCGAATATTTAAAAAAAAAAGAAAGGAAAAGAGAACTATAAGACCAAAGATAAAAAAATCAGATTGTTACTGTTATTTCTTCGTATATTGATTTAAAATATTATAAGCCTATTAAATATATTAAAATAACGAGGCATATTTTCATTATATAAAATTAATCATTAAAAAATCTACAATTATTAAGATAAATTTTAACATAATTAATTTAAATTTAATTGTATTAACATTTTGGATAACTTTATAATATCTTCTTTTGATTGTGTTACATCATTGATTTTTAATTAAACAAAGAAATTTTAATGTTTAAACCTTAAAAAAATCAAACCATCATTTCGAAATCTTACGATTTAATAAGTAGAGGGTGAGAGTTTCTTTTGGGATTAGAATTATCGATAAATATAAGCAGAATTTAAAAACAAACTTAACAAGCCAAGTCCACGTGATTTGAAGAAGACTGCAGAAGAAGCAGATTAAAAGAATCTTTGTAAAAAGTTATTTATATCGTAATTTAATTTAAGTGAAATTCGAGATTAACTTTGAATTTTAAATTAAAGAAAATAAGAAAATTCCTCAGAAAGACCAATCGAATAATTAAATCTGTTCTTTTGAAAAGAAATCATTTTTATGTCCAAAAATACAATTTGATTCGATTTTTTTTATTTTTAATTATCTAGATGCTACAAGTTTTTTCAATTAACTTTAGGTTAATTATATATTTATCTCTCTATATTTAATAACCTCTATTCAGTGTATATATAATTAAAATTTTAAAATTATATCTTTAATTCTGAATAATACTGATCTATTCTATTTTTTAGGATTTTCTTTCGAAAAGATTTAAATTATTATATTCTATATATATTTATACTCGTATATGTTACGGCTAAAACCCGTGAATCGGATAAAGATAGGATTAACCGGTTAATGCTAATTTTATCCAAGTCCTTTGATTAAAATTAGTTGAAATAAGTTAGCGAAATGTCGATGAATTCTTCACTCTGGTGATTTTTTTCATGCCTAAGATAAACTTAAAAAAAACTTGTAAGCTGCAGTACTACAACACATTAATAAATACAATAATTACAATGATCAACTAGTATACGCCATTTAAAAATCTATGCATAACTTACATATCAGTATTCTATAAATCAAAATACTGTACACATACAGTACTTCTTTTCATTAGGCCCTCACTTTAAAGCTAAATCTAAGATTTTTAAATTTAAAGTTGAGAATGTTGTAGCTAAATCTGGCACTATTTGGTGAAATAACCGACATAATTTACTATATTTTCATTTAACTTATTTTTTAGTAAATAGAGAAGTAATAAATTCTAATTGATTTTAAAAAAAAACAAATTTTTTCCTTTATCTATTTAATCTGCATTTGATTATTCGGCTAAAGTGAAGCAATAGGTTTTCTTCTTGCTTTATCCAGAATGGGATGGATATAACCAGAATTTTAAGTTTTATTCTTGCTTCTTCCACTCGTTTTTGGATAGCATCAGCGTTGTCTGCTCGTTTTTTGGATAACATCAGCGTTGTCTGCTTCAAAATTAATAGATTGTTACTCTTGTTTTAACCAAAAGGATAGGATAAAGTTAGCATTAGCCGGTTAATCCTAGTTGTATACGATTCACTCAAGGGCTTTAGCTGTAATATATAGCCTACAGTATATAATATTTATTAATTTTTATAGTTTATTTTTAAGAATGTGTGTCAAAATTCAAGATGTATAGAAGTACGATACTTATTCTATCTACTGCTCAATAAAAAATTTGTTATAGAAATTTCACGTAAAGAAAACTTTTTTCTAAACTGCAATCTATATGTAGTCATTTAATTAAGCAAGCTTTAAAGATAACGCTTTATTTATGATCTAATAAATTATATCAGAATTCATTCTTTTGTGCTAAATTTATCTAAATTATCACATCAACTCACTCAATAGGTTCAATTTACTTTGGTATTTAATTCACTTAACGTATCATAAAAATATATAATAAATTAAAAAAAAACACTTAAGATTATTTTAATCTATTGTTATCACAGCCGCACTATTATTATAGGCTTTGATATGTATAATGAGCAAGAAATCATCATCAGGATGATTATTTTGTTAAATTATCCTACGCAAAGAAACAATTACCGTATAGTTTAATAAAGTAGTAAGTTAATTTTATCAAAGCTGAAGTAACCTTTTTTATTACTTTAAATTCAGTTGAGTGCTCTTTTCGTACAATATTGTATTTATTCGTGTTCTGTTGTAGCAGTTAAAAGTTTAATGCAAGATCAGTCGTAAAATATTCAATTATCTTTCACTCATCGCTTGTTGATTTCCAAAATTATCCGAATAAAGAACAAACAAAACGATTCTTACAACTCTCATTCTTCAATTATCTTAATTATTCGCAAATTCTGCGAATAATCGTTAACAGAATTGAGTTAGAATTTCGTTTAGATCATCTTTATTGTTCTTAAACAAACAATAAAGCGTTTCCATATGACAATTTTCGAAATTATATAAATAATAAACATTATAATAATTTTTAATAATGATGATTTAACAAGAAATTTAAAAAGATAAACCAACAAATCGAGATCAGGATAGAAGATTATCCCAGAATCGGTGATCTATTTGCGTCGTGTGACCGCGGCAAACACAATATTCCTAATCGAGGCATTTACGACACGACCTCAAGTTACGTATGGCCTGTAAATGGTGTCTCGTGACTTGGATGAATGATGAAAAGTTAAAGTTTTGAGAGGTTCTTCAGGAACTGTCTTGTTAGGTTCACTTTCTATAGCAGTCTCTTCCGTTTTCCTTTCGTTGGGCTGTAGTTTTGTCATCTCCATATTGGATTTTCTACTCCTTTTCCATTTCATTCTTCTATTTTGAAACCAGATTTTTACCTAAATTCATTTTAAAATGTCTTATTATTAAAAAATATATAAAAATAACTCTATATAATTAACATTAATTAGAAAATATAAGGCTGATAGCTAAATTTTATATGATTTAAAATAAAAATAAGCGTTTTCCAAAATATTTATAAAAATCAATTTATAGAAAGACCACAAAATTAGAAATAAAATCATTGTATAGTTCGCCTCTGGCATCGACGTTGTAAAATGCTGTAAAAATTAAATTGTTAATATGCTTAATATTCATCGATAATATTTAATTAAACTAATTTATCGAAAATTTTCGAAACAAACCGATAAAATTTATTTTTAATATCTTAAATATATAATTCAAATAAGAATAAATTTATATTTTATATTTATTAGACTTATGTGACAACATATTTTATATATAGATTTAACACATTGGAAAGACTATTATAAAAGCTAATTTTTTAAATTTTTTGTTCATTAAATGAGATCTCGAGCTTTAAATTAACGCTAAGAGATTCTTCATAACATCAATTCTTTTATACCTATTACTAGAATTTTTTCGTTTTAAACAATTTTTCTTAATTAAAAGAATATTTTATACTGGAACAAATATTCTTATACAATTTAAAATCAAATAAATTGTAATTTTAACCTCTTATTTAACTTAACTAAATGATTTATAAACTCAAATTAGGATTTTTTTTCTTTAGTTATTTTAATTTGCAATCTTTCTTTTTATACGGAAACGTAACATAACTTAGAAATCGTCATATTTTCCATTAGATAACATAAAGAACTGACTATATAATTCTCCATATTAAAAATTTTTAATTATATTTTAGTTATCATAATATTAAAATTCTGTATAGTAAAGACTGCAGTGTTTATTATATGTTACTCATAAAATATTCAAAGAAATCGTAATTACATACAATATGTTTGAAAAATCTTCTAAGCAATTTGCTTCAATTAGGTATTATGCAGCACAAGATATATCTAATATATAAACTAGTCTGTAATTAAGTTAATATCCGCTAGAAAACTTAATAATTAATCTTTAAATTCAATTTAAACATTTATTTTTAAATGCGATTTATTAAAATGTGGATAAATTGATCAAAGAATCCTCAAAATGAACTGCAAATATAACAGGAAAGAAATGTAAATAAACTGCAAAATTCAATAAAATTTTGTATTTATTTACATTTATTTGTCGAGATATTTATTTATTTAAAATTCTTTATTCGTAAGACTATAATAACATATTATAAATAATATTAAACTCGTTTAATATTAATCTTTCAACACACATAATTAAGTTTATTTATGAGTAATTTTGATATCAGATAACAATATGCAATTATTAATTTCTCCTTTAATGATATTAATCAGTATGATAAGAGTAGAATGTGACGAGTATTTCTGACGGAAAATAATTAATATGGGCCTTTTGTGTTTATATTGAATATTTAAAAAGCTTTACCTGAGTTTCGGTCAACATTAAGCTAGTTGCTACTTCGAAACGTTTCGGCCTGGAAAGATATTTATTCATTCTGAATTGATTTTCCAATTCTAAAAGTTGTTGACTTGTAAACGCAGTTCGCGGTCGACGAGTTTTGCCTAAAAGAGGTGTTTGACCTGAAAATAAAGCGTTTATCTTTTAAAATTTCAAATACTTAAATTAAAAAAGAAAATATGCTGACTTTAAACCACGCCCATTCGTATCTAGAGTTTAAATATTTAAAATATTCAATAACGCGACGTATTAATAAACATAACGTGACGTAAATTTGAATTGACCAAACATATTAATTAATTTTAATTAGTGTTAACGAATACGAACCGATTCGAAGTTTGTTAAAGCGAAACCACGCCCATTCATAAGTCGAGATAGACCTAAACGTCCGATTGGTCGTTATTGTTTCGACTCCGCCTTTCATTGACTCCTCGTGACATAAGTGAGGTCTCTAGCAACTTACAAGATTGATGAGATGTTTTCCATCCATGAAAGACGATGCGTAAAATAGTTTAATTAATAAAGACAGGAGCGAATATTGAGAAGATAATTGGATAAAAACGAACATTTAATCGATATCTCTTGTTTATTCAATTATATAATATTTCTTAGCTAACGAGATTTTTATTGGCGGAGTGCTTTGCATAAAATTAACTATTGTGAATTTTAATTTTTATCAACGTTTATCATCTGTAAAGGTCTCTTTTCCACGTCACGTAAACGTTTGACCGTGGAGTCACTATTTAAAAAGCATTAAGAGATCGTTTTAACACGTATTTGCAAGATTCTGTTTTGATAATTAACCTGTTTCTTTTGGAAAAAAAATAGAAGAATACGTCATAGTCGAGTGGCTAAATTCTAAAGAGTGCAGGGTTTGTAATTTAACTCCCTCTATAATTCAGTCTAGTCGTCAATATTACCGTTTGCCAATAGAAGGAGAATGGGGATGTTTTAACAAGCTGGAAAGAGACAACGCTCCAAGCGTCATCCTAATCAGTCCTCTGTTTACTCAGATAGCAGCTGGGACCCCCTAACGCTGTCGATAATCAGATTATTATTTATGAAATCTTAGTGAGGACTCCTTCCACGTCAAATAAAGTAATTTAACACGTCCTGTAGAACAAATTTTTACCTTCTCTGATTCGGTGACGAATTCTGAAAACGAATTTCTTTTGATGTAATGACGTCTGCCACTGCACTTTGCAAATTTTTCTGTGGTTATGTCAATACACTTCATGTAGATCCTTCGGAGCTGTGTTTCGTTTTCTACACTCTTATACACATTGATCTTCGAGATGAAAGCGGTCGAGAAGCTGGAACATCTATTAAGGGACCCATAACTCTTTTAGACCTTAAATATAATCAAATCAAATCCAGAGAAAGCACAAAAGCCTTGATTATCTTGTTAAATTTTTTCTGACTTTAACTTGTTTATCTTTCGTTATTAAAAGCATCTGCGAACTTTTATTGATTTTGCAAATGAAACCAATTGATGGAAAAAACAAAACAAAACCATTAGAGTCTCGCTAACTCCCGTATTTTAAGTAGAAAGTTTGCATATTTAAAATGTTTTTGAAAACTCCATAAATATATAATATACACAGAAATAATTTAAAACTAATTATTAATTTAATGTTAACAATTTAATTTACTTACAGTTAGAAATATTTAGCATAGTCTATATTTAAAAGTTTTATAAAGATAAAATTGATAAAGTGATATAAAACTTTAAAAATATATTGCGACTTATATACTTAGGCTATATATATATCCTATATAAATTTCAATTATTTTTAAGATATTAAATCATCAAAAAATTTGAATTATCTTAATTTTTGATCAGACTTCATTTAATCATTATCAAGTTTTAAATAAATTGTTTTAATTGTTTTTCAATCAAATCTAATTTAATAAACAGTTAAATCGATTCACAATATCCAATACAATATATATTAAAATCAAATTAAATTTGTATAAAAATATTTCAAATTATCTTACAAAATTTAATTACAAAATTATATTATGTTTAATTATACTTGAAGAATTAATTGCGATTAACAAGGATCATTAACTGATTTGCATTCAGTAGAAATTTGCTTCGTCTTTTTATTTAGAATTTAGTCGTTTAAACAGTAAGAAATTAATTATTGCATTTTTTAATAATTATTATAAAAAGGCAATGATTAATACCACCACTTATAATTAAAATTAAAATAATTTTTAAAAAATTATTCTTAACAGACAAGTTAAACTTCATTAATTTTCGCTAATTAATATCAAGCTACAGTTTAATAAAACATATTAAAAATTATTTATGAACAAATCAATTCAGTTAGATTAAGAAAAATTAATTACAGTAAATATCATGAATTCATAAATAGATAATTTATGGATAAAGTCAACAAAGAAATTTTTTATGTAAGAAAATGTTAATTTATAAAGGGTTAGTTGTATTAATTAAAAATTTTATTATATTAAAATTAATAAAAAGGAGTGAATATGACTTATAATTTACACATTAATGTTAATAAAATTTTTATATCACCACGTTTCAATATAATGAACGATACTTAGAATTTTCCGAAAAAATAAAGTTTCTTCTTTGAAAAAATGATTCACATTTCGTTCCTATTTCATTCTCAACAAGCAAGCTTTAAAAACTATGAATTATCAAGCAAAAGTATTCAAATTCTATAATTATAAGCAGAGTAAACTAAAAATATCTTTTAATCACTCCATTAAGTTCTCGTCTTCCATAGATATCGTAGCATCCCAAGGGATGGTTAACTTGTACACATTAAAACACTTTACAAATTAACCAATAGGGTGGAGTATGCTCTCCTTATTCTTACCTGGTAAGTCTCCAGGTCTGGAGTAGTACAACCCCGCCCGCGCTGTCCAATCTGAAGGTTCTGGAAGAGGAGGATGGAACGCGCTTCCAGAAACAGGAAGGATAGATGAAACAGCATAAATCGGATGCGTCGATATGACTGGGACATTCAGATGATGAGATAATAAATGTGGAGTAAATGGTATGGATAATTCCTGACGGACAGCACCGATTTTGTCGACCAAGTGTGTTCTAGGATTGTCTCTAGCTAAGAGAGCTTCGATACAGAAGGAGCCGGTTGAATGTGGCAACTTGGTGGCCATCGGCACCTATTGTTAGCTGTGGGAGTGTTAACTAACTCATCGCAATTCAATTTCCATCTTTTTCTTCCATCCAAGTGTCTAGGAGGAGGTTTCCTATTGGCGGAGCCTTGCTAGCTTCTAATGTGTTGGATACAGCGTTAGCTAGGAAATCAATGACTTGTCGACAGCACTAAACACCGATAATGCTGTGGATGTGGGAATAAATTATATCAGTGATCTTAAAGAGGAAAGATCCTTGCTCTTTTCGCCGGTTGTATTTTTAAAAGGAATTCCACTTTTTGAATGTAAAAAATGATATACTACCAATTAATAAGTTATTTAAAATGTTAAAATCCATTTCTGCTTATAAAATTTACAGTTTTTGTTCGTTTTCACAATTATTATAATACAAAGATTTTTATGGTTTTTTTCTAAATTATTTATTATTTTAAATCGGTTAAAATTAATTAAATTAATCAAAATTATGCTTTAAATGTAAATAAAATGTCATAAAATTTTACTGTTTGT